CCCCTTCCAAAAAAGAAGAAGAAAAAGTGTGTGTGTGTGTGTGTGTGTGTGTGTACCACCAAACTGGGTCTGACTGGTACAAGAGACTGCCCCTCCCTCTCCAGCAGAGCATGAAGTAGAGTCTGGGTTTCCCTTTTCCCCCCCAGGTGCCTGTCGGGGCCTGGGTTTCAGCTGTGCACACCACAGCAGTGGGTAGCGAGCTGAAAGCCCCTGAAGGCTCTGGGCGCTGACTCTCACCAGTGGCTATGGATGAAGTCACAGGCGATTTTCAGCCAGCGCCGGAAAAACCACCAACTTTTTATCTAGTTCAACATGGACAGTTTTTACTAACCAGAGACATCCCTGACAAAACTAGAGTAGCTCTTGAATATCTGGAGCAACTCTGTGGAAGATAACTTTCCATGATGCTGGAAAATATAGCTGCCAACTAGTCACATGTGACTAATGAGCTCTTGAAATGTAGCCTGTGCGATGGAGTAACTGAATGTCTTATTTTAATTTATTGACATAATCACAGGTAGATTTAGTTAAGATGATTTCTTTGCTTCTGTTAAACAATGTTATTCAGCCTTTGTACCAGTTGCACTGCACAAAGTGAACTGAATACATCCCCAAATAGGTCAGCCAGGCCCTTGGTGATTGAGAATTGAAAATGTATTGCACCTTAATGTTAATCTTCCTAACTTCCACACACTCAGTATTTAAACTTTATCTCCCTTTCTCCCCTTCCTTATAACATTGCAGTTTGGACCAGAAAATCCCTTTAGGACACAGCAGATGGCTGCACCTAGAAATATGCTTTCTGGATATGCTGAACCAGCTCATATCAACGATTTTATGTTTGAACAGCAAAGAAGAACTTTTGCCACATATGGTAAAGTTGGCCTCATTGGAAGTGTATTGTGTGAAAGAGATCATCTTTTTTATCTCCTGGCTCTCTTAAAATTTTGATCTGTATTCCTCCAAAAAGAATAGTGTGTTTTCTTATATACATCTATAAGTATTTATAGGGAATGTACTTAAAATTCACAAGTGAGAAGGAGAACTAGTATTTTTTAATTGTCATTCCCAAATCTAAAATTTCTGATAATGTAATGTCAGTGTGCTATATTTGTTGTATCTGTCCTTACTGTCTTGAAGTCACTCATGATTCAATATTAAGATCTGGGTTATTCAAGTTGAAAATTCAGAAAAGACAAATTCTAAGTTAAAGAAATAATTATGTGTAAAAGGAAAAATGAGAAATGAGTGTTTGGATAGTAATGAAATGAATTGTAAATTACACAAATGGAATTAACACTTTATCCTTTTTCTATTTAGGTTATGCTTTGGACCCTTCTTTAGATAGCCAGCAGGTGTCTACTAAATATATTGGTTCTGTAGAAGAAGCAGAAAAGAATCAAGGTAATGTAGTTAAATACTTGATACCAGATAGCGATACCAGATGTTGCCATCTTGCAGATGGACCTTAAATAGACTGTAGGATACTTTAGAAGAAGTTTAGACATTAAAATAATGTACTTTAGAGTGCTGTTCTTGAACTATTACAATTTAGTTCTCAATTTTGCTGCTCACTAGCTTTGCAACTTTGTAGAAAGGATGGTGATACCTGTTTCTCTGAGTTATTTTGAGTATTTGGCTCCATATAAAAACTGACAAATTATTCAATAAATTTTAATTCATAGCTAATTTTGGCTGTTTACTTCTCAACATTAAAATATAAAGCCACATTTTAACAGAGAACAAAACTTTGATTGTGTCTGGAGATATTTTTGAAGGGTTACTTTGAAGGTTGAATAGTTTTGCAAGCAATTGGAATATATTTGTTTTTAAATGCATAAAATTAATTTTAAACCCATTTTTAAAATGTATTTCTGCTTATATTCATTTTGTACCTATTTTAAGACAAAGCAGCAGTCTCTAAATGCTCACTGAGTCTTTAGTGGCTTTTATAATAAAGTGAAAGCTATGTAACAATTGTCTGTGAGCAAAACCTCAAGCATGACAAAGACCTTCCTTCAAAGCCGATACCCTAAATTTAGAATTGTAGCCTCCTAACCCATGAGTCAGCAAAAGAGAAAAAGACCCTCAACGAGATAGACTGACAGAGTGCCTACAGCAATAGGCTCAAATGTATCAGAGACAATGAGGTTGGCACAGGATAGGACAGGGTTCAGAAATGTTCTTCATAGGGTTGCTGTGAGTTGTACTTTGACTCAGTGGCACCTAACAACAACAATCTGTGAGAAAATATATTTCTGTTCATTAAAGCTACCCACTTGTGATATATCTGTTGTAGCAGCACTGGATAATAGAGACAGAATTTGGTACTGGAAGAGTTGGATCCTGACCTAATAGGTACCCTAAGTGTGGGCACAGTTTCAGAATTGAGTAATGGGTAGAGGAAGAATTTTAAGATGCCTAATAATAATAACCTATATTACCTTGATGATACTGTTGATAAAATTATAACTGTCCAAGGCAGTTCTGGGGAGACTTCAGAAGGAAGTAAAGAGAATCATAGAGAAAGTCTTTATCATCTTAGGGAAGAAATGTAGTATCAACAACGGAATGTTGCTAAAAAATGTGGACATTAAATGGTGATTTTGGTGATGGTTTAAATGATGAGCGTGTGAACAGTGTTGAAGTCTAATGCCTTCTATGTAATAGCAAATGTCTTAGCTGAATTATGTTAAAATCTTTGGGAGAAGGTTGCACTTTTAAGAACTTGGTGTCTTGAGAAGAATTTTAAGGAAGATCTAAGAAGAGGGCTGCATGATTTTTCCTTCTACTTAAAGTAAAATACAAGAGGAAAAAGACTTAAATATTGACTCTGCAAAATAAAAACAACTTATACACTTAAGAAAAATTTTGTGATCTAAACTAAAGACTTAAATGTTCACCAAGGATGTGGCTGTACAATATTTGTTTAAACAATTAATCAAGCTTCTGACTCATTCATCTAAGCAACCACCGTAGCAGCTTTCAAAGAGTCGATTCTTCACCAGTTTGGCTCTTGAGGGTCGAACTGCCCTGAAGGTGTGCCTGGGAGAATAAGTCAGCTAGGGACCAAGGTCCACACAAGTGGACTGGGAGAATGAGTTTACCTAAATAAAGCGAAGGAAGTAGATTTGCCACCCCAGGGGTCCCAGAAACTCAGTGCCAAGGAGCCTCTACCCAGAATCTAGAGTGTGGTCACCCCCCCAGAATCTGGAAGGCAGGGGCCATTGCCCAAGTAGTCTCAGAGGACAGAAGATATCCAAGTCTTGAGAGCTAACTTGTATTCTAAATTTCACAGTTTAATGGACAAAGAAGATTTTTGCCCTAAGGTCTCTCATCCATATTGATTTAGATGGTTGAGAAGATTTGAAACTTGATATAGTACTTTGATGGGTGATGGCATGGGTGAATGTGTTTTGCATGTGGAAAGGATATGAATTTGCAAGGACCATATGATAAAATGTTATAGATTGATTTGTGTTCTTCCAAAATACATATATTGTACATTCTAAGCTTTAAGCATGTAGTAGTAATCCTCTAGAAGAAGATCCATGTCCTTTCTGAGCTTCTGCTCTTGGGCTTGGCATATGTCATCCCCCCTTTTGCTAGGTAGTTTATTTTTAGTCTCTTTTATATCTCAAAAGAGATTGATTAAAGATAAAACATGTACTAATCTTGTTTATTAGTATAACTTGTTGTTTACACTGGCTTTCTTTTTAAAAGTGGCAAAAAGCCAATGACGTAGATATTTGTATGATTCACTAAATAATTGTAGGATTACATATCTGGCTCTTTATTAAATTTATTTAGGTTCTCTTTAAATATATTAGAATTTGTAAATTATTACAGTGATAGAAAGCTGATTTATCTATTAGATTAAATTATTTGTGTAACATGAGTTGATATATCTGGCAGATTTATATAGACTTTGGTTTGTTTTTGTTAATAAATTTTTAATCACTTTAATAATCACCTCTCTTTACCCACATAGAGTAAAATTCGTATTTGTTGATATTTCTTTATACAATATCCACATTTATAGTATCTTTTTTAAAAAAATGTAGGTTTAACTGTGTTTGAAACTGGTCAGAAGAGAACAGAGAAGAGGAAAAAGTACAAAGAAAATGATGCATCCAATATTGATGGCTTCCTGGGACCATGGGCAAAATATGTGGATGAAAAAGATGTAGCCAAACCTTCAGAAGTAAGCTTTGATGTTTTTCCTTGACAGTTCGGGTATACACTGTGTCTCTGTGAAAGAGATTTCTGTCAATATGCTTGGGGTATCCTGAGAGAACAAGTAACACATCAGAATTTTTCTACCGTGCTTGATTGAGAAAAACTAATTTTGTTTTTCTTAAGAATATTTTTTTAAATTAATTGAAGGTTTTGTTTGGATTCCCCTCACCCCACCCCACCCCCCATTTTCTTTCATTTCTTTTAAATAGTTTATAATAGTTTAAAACCATAGAGCCAGGACCCTTCTAGATCTCTGGGATACAGCAATGGACAAGATTAAGAAAAGCCTATCCTTGTAAAGCTTGCCTTTGGGTGGCAGCACAGCTTTTTACCACTAGGCTACCAGAGCTCCCAGAAAGGATGCATTTTGTAAAATCAGAGTAAAAAGTATTGTCTTGTACTTACTATACCTATGGAAGAGGGAGTCAATCAGTCTCTGCTTATGAAAAGTTGAGATTATTATTCATATGTCTGTTGCTCCACCGAAAGAATGGGCACCATTTTAAAGAATGTATAGCTAATTCTGTATATGATGAGGCTCTAAAAGATTCATTGTAAAGTTTCCTCTTTCCTTAGGAAGAACAAAAAGAATTGGATGAAATTACAGCAAAGAGGCAGAAAAAAGGCAAACAGGAAGATGAGAAACCTGGGGAGGAAAAGACAATCTTACATGGTAATTTTTAAAATATGTGCATGTAGTATCAGTTGCCCCTCTGTCAGCTGCTATGTCATAATTGATGGTGTTGGTCAGTTTGCATCTTGAATAGATTACAGCAAGTTCTTCTAGATAATGTTCTAATAATAAAGAAAAAAAATTTTTAATAATAGCCACAGATAATTTTTTTCAGTTGCTAGCATGTGAAATAAATGGTAAAGAAGAAATCTGAATGGGTATTTTCCCAGGGAAGTTGACTTTTTGTTTAGTTAGTAGTGCCCAAAATAGTTATTTTAACCAAGGTATAATTCTCCAAGGTATTCTCTTAATTCAAAGCTGTTACTCAATTATGCTTTGTAAGAGTAATGATAGAAAGGACCCTGCATTAGAACAGATGAGGGGAAGAGCTATCCAAAAAGAATATATGATTAGACATTACATATATGAGAACAGTCTGAAACAAGGGATGCATTGCAGGGTGGGCTGGGGGAAGTTGGGTGGGTTTCGGGGGGTTAGAAAATGTGCACCAGTGAATAATATAAAGTAAAACAAAAAAAGTACAGTAAATACTCGAAAAAGAGTAAGTTTTAGTTAGTTTTTTGTTGGGCCTTTATTTTTTTAATGTGAGTCAAGTAACATTTTCATAATTATTTTCCTTTGTGGAAAGAAGTACATATTTGCCAAAATAAATAATAAATATTCCAGAAAGTATCTGATTAATAAATAATTAATTATGTTAGGAAATATGTAATGATCATCTGAGACAAAAAGAATAATTTAGCAGTGGTAGTGTTGATTATTCTAATATTAAATCACTTATCAAATAATTAGTTTTATAAAGCTATATTTGGTTTCTTGGGCTCCAACTTTCTCTCTAAAGAACTTATTTAGTACTGAGGAGCCTGCAACCATAACAGTAACAGTTAACATTTATTTAGACTTAACTCTATGCCAGATATGCTTGGAAATGCTCTCTGTATGTAAACGCCGTCTAATTTCCCAAGTTACTTTTATTATAATATATATGTGAAAGTAGGAAATGAAAAAGGAACCTGCAAAAGTGTAAGAGAAAAGGAATAGTTGATATTTTTTTATTTTATTATAACTTCCTGTATGTTCTGTTCTGCTTCTGATTCTTTGCCAGACTCAGAAGATTCAAGGCCCACATATTCAGTTCTCTCATTGTAACTATATATCCATAATGTCTTTTTTATATAGTTCTAAAACATTTAACAGAGTAAAAGAAGTCTAAATCTTACTTAAAAGTCAAATATTCTCTGGGCATTTAAGAATTTCAAGGTGTTGCTCTTTTGTAAGTAAATTATTTAGGCAGCTAAATGTTGACTGATTTTTTTTTGTCTTAATATAACTAGAATGTCATTATGTAACCTAAATATAGAATGATGTGAAATGTTGTATTTTAAGCACATATATTTCGTGCCTGTGGCTTATATTTATTCACTAATATCCTTCGCCTTTTTTGTTTCAGTCAAAGAAATGTATGACTATCAGGGAAGGTCCTATCTTCACATACCTCAGGATGTTGGTGTTAATCTCCGGTCAGCTGTGCCACCTGAGAAGTG